GAGTGATCCAGATGTGTGTGTGGGGGGGGGGGGGGAAGGGGAGGAGACTTCACTCCAGGCTGAACCGCGTAATCCCCCTTTTTGTATTTCGGCAATTTCATCTGCCTCTCACTCACTCACTCACGCACTCTCTCTCTCTCTGTCTGTCTGTCTGTCTGTGTCTGCGTTTGTATGTGGGTTCCCTAACGTTGAACTGCTGGATTTTGTTTTGGCCGGTAAAACTTCCCCCATTTATGTGTGGATCAAATGACTTGAGAAAGGGATATGGAGAAGCGCTAAAAAAATCGATGACGAACATTCAACTAACAACATTTACATTCACGCTATATATGTGTGCACTACTTAGGCCAGCATCATTATTGTGAATTTCTTAAACCATTTAATAATAAATCTCACTTTATCTCAAATAGAAGGAAACGAAATGAAATTGGTCAATTGGTAACTCTTGGTTTTCAATTATTTTAAGGATATTGTTAAACAAACCTCAGGTGTCACTTTTAATTGGTTCTGCGGCTTGGGCGATCAATTCATGTCATTGAGCAGTAAGAAAAACACTGGCGCTATGAAGGTAACTGTTCTTACCGTTCGTCAGAACAATACAAATGCAACATTACTAATATGTTGTAATTAATATCATTATTACTATTCTATTTATTGAACATTGATAGAAGATCCCATAGCTTCTTGAAATGTGATACGCGGTCGATCACCTGTCTGGTGTCTGGGTGAAGAGAACAAGTCGAATAAGACCAATGCCAGTACACAATGGGATCTTTAAATCGATATCTGCAAGAGTTAAACAATATGTGCTGAATGAGATATTGGGAACTCTTGTTTTTCTATAGAAGAAATCAACTCCCCCGTGCACTCCCGTGCCATTCTAATCGAAATCGAATTGTACGGATTTCCACGGATCAATCGGTATCACATGATTGTCGCACTATCTATCCATGGGGTTGAAACTGTGTAATCGTTCAGTATTGACCTTTTTCACGTCTGGATAAATGCCATTCCATCGATTGGTGTGCAAAGTGCTCCCAAAACACATTGATTTTTGGCGTAGGCAAGGGACGTGAATGTTTATGCGTAGGCGACTAGCTGTGCTGATTCAATTCACCGAATGCCCATTCAATTCGTCACTGCCATCATCTCCTCACGTTGCCCCCGATGTGGATGCAGGCAGATCTTTACGGGGCACTAAAGACGGGGGCAATCTTTCTACTCATTAGTAGCAACAGCTGCCTGTGCGCAATTTATCAGCGTTGATTTCTTTTCGCAAAACTCTTTCGTGATGTTGTGCACAACACTGTTATCAGGTGTTCGGCACGAATGTGATCTGCCGAATGAAGGACATATGACTGTGAGTAACTCATACTGATTATGATTATTATTTGAGTACTACCAATCACCGTTTCAGTTTCCAGTTGTCACAACCAGTTTTAGTGCCTAAATTTCGGCTACCCATTTCGATAAGAGAACAGAATGAGGATTGGTATGTGGAGAACAGTGTCAAACAGAAGATAGATAGATAATCTCAATAGATTGGGATCGCACGGAGAGTGAGTAGATGCACGAACACCACTGTTTGTGATATTCAACCAAATTACTCAGTGTCTTTTGAACCCCGGTTCCCGTGATCTCCTGATCTCCATCCAGGAAACCTAGCACGATCGAGAATAAATCTAGACAAATCTAGAAAGCGGAATATAGGATAACCAGTCGGGGATAAATGTACATGGCAAATAGAACGCAGTTTTTTCCCTAGTGGTCTTCTTATCGGAGAATAGTTGTCAATCCCAATCGATGTGCTGTGCAAACTGACTGCTGAGGTTTGTATGGGGTGGAGAGGGTGACATAAGGATGGAGACTGTGTGTCGGTTGTGTGTGTGTGTGTGTCTGAGGGTGCGGATGAGATACAAATGAACAAAATCTGGAATAGCAGTTCGTATGGAGACAGGAAATCTTAGGCTGAGTTTACCCCCACTTAGCCAAGGTCTATTAAGGGTTCCCAGAAAACGAACACTATGAGACGTTTTTTCTGTTTCTTCATAAAAGCATGAAGAAAAATCTAGCATATTACGCAACTAGTAGTTATGTACACGATAAATGCTTGGATTAGCCAATTTGGTTTTGCACAGATACCGGGGACTGTGAATGATCTGACGAGACCTAAATCGAACGGAACAACTGTTGTCCAGTGCACTCTTTGTCGGTTACCACAAACAGTTCCATCGCATTTAAATTGGTAGTTATATTCGTCTTGATTTATCCCCACCCCATCCGTCATCGCCGCATCCAGCCCATTCGGGCAAACATACATCCCACTCGCGTTTTGTTGATAGTGGTTGACTTTGTTACGATAGGCAACCACTAAACATGCACAAAGTATGTTCCAAATGTGGCTCTCGGGGTTTCGAAAACCGGATTTCAGTCGAATGAAATAATGAAAATATTCACCCGTTTCCATCTCACGGAATTAGTCTGCCTTGGATCAACTTCAGGACGTAACGTTACTGGATGTAGGGGTTAGAATAACGGATACACGCCTCTCATGGCAGAGTTTCTTTTGGGGTCAATACCCTCGTTACTGATATGCTATCATTTCGCATCATACAAACGATGATGGTCAAGCGCGAAAGGTTACCAAATTATCACTCCCCGGAGGACGTGTGTTCGAATCCCACCATCATCAACACCACCACAATTTGACCTTCCTCATTCTCCGTGTGTTGTATGATGACCATTTGATAAGCCACTTCGACCTTCTTGAAAATGATATCATTGTGTACCCAATGAAAGGAAGTAAAATGAAAAGCTCGATAGATAGATGGATGACTATTATTTGCAATACCGGGAAAAAAGCTAATCGGTCCACCCTTTTTTTACGGTATTTGCTACCGAGAACCGGAAAAATTTCTAACCATAATTTGTACTGAACCAGTCGTCTGGTTTATTCAATCACAAGGTTATTGGTTCACGGTTCAGGTGACCACAAACAGTGTGGTTTGCCCTCCGTGGAGTGGGACACTTCATATCATCCATTCACCAGATTGCATCACGCGTGATTCACAGAAAAATTCAAGTGCGCACTCTAACAGCGCTGTTTGTTTGCTTTTTGCCATTACTCATTCAATACAGATGTCAATTTCAAATGTGAAATGATTTATGGACGAAAGATTGAGGACAAATGTGGCACGGTCAAGTTTGTATTCATTTATTCATTTATTTGGTTTTGATGTTTGTTTCGGCTGTATATTACTCGGCTGTCCTGAAACTGACAGTAGGTTTATTTTATTTTTGTCGATGGCATATGTGCTTTCCCACAACAACAACAACAACAACAACAACAACAACAACAACAACAACAACAACAATAAAAGGAACGTGAAATTTCAATTTGTCGTCGTCCCATTTTCTCCCTAAATTTGAACAAAAACCAGAAATCAGCTGGCTAATTTTGGGAATAAGGCAATTCTGTCGAACATAACGTTCAAATGGTTTTAGCTCCGGATGTGGATGTTGTGGTGTAGCGGGGTTCCAGCTCAGGGAGAGAGCTCTCCAACACTGATTGGCAAAGTAATTCTCTGATCGTCTGACCGGTGTCGTGGTATTCAGGGAAATTATGATATCTGTTCGTGACGGCGGAGCGGGAGTTGAGTGGACATTGTTCCTGAGGATCAGCCACGACGTCTGTGGACAGATGGGATTTTTCGTATGACGGGCACTATCTCCACAATCTTCCTTGCTGGCACGTACCTCGACGTGCGCAAACCAGAGTCTGTATCAAATAAAACTAACCTCATATAGAAGTTTGTTATTCGAAACGGGAGTAGTCTTAGTCGGGCTTGGAAACTCATCCAATG